CTGGGCCATCCCAGTCCGCCTGCTCCTCCCCATACACAGCAGGCCCCCGGTGGCCACAAAGGGCTAAAGCTGCACGGATCCCTTCAATGCGGGTGCCCAGTCCTGCTGCACCACCCCGTGGTTAAAGTCCCCGGCGCTGGTTCATCTGGTGGCTCCTGGAAGCCCCATCCTCGGGCCTCGTGTCTCCACACACGTGTCTCCTGGGCCATCCCAGTCCGCCTGCTCCTCCCCATACACAGCAGGCCCCCGGTGGCCACAAAGGGCTAAAGCTGCACGGATCCCTTCAATGCGGGTGCCCAGTCCTGCTGCACCACCCCGTGGTTAAAGTCCCCGGCGCTGGTTCATCTGGTGGCTCCTGGAAGCCGTTAGCGCAGGGGGTCTGCAGAGAACAGCTTGGCCGTGGCTGGGGAGCCCTTTCCACCGCCTCCTGCGGGCCAGCCAAGAGTCTCTGCAGCCCCTCCCCTCCTCTGCAGCCCCTACCCTCCTCTGCAGCCCCTACCCTCCTCTGCCCATGGCCTCGCGGGCCCTTCGCCCCGAGCTCTGACAGGGACATTCCCTCCAGGACCGGCCCAAAACAGCCGCCGCATCCTAGGACAAGAAGCAATGGGCTTAAACTGCAGCAAGGGAGGTTGAGGTTGGACATTAGGAAACACTTTCTACCTGTGCGGGTGGTTAAACACTGGAATAAGTTTCCTAAGGGGCTGTGGTCTCTCCGTCACCGGAGACCTTTCAGAGCAGGTTGGACACACCCCTGCCAGGGACGGTCGGGTGCTTGGTCCTGCCGGAAGTGCAGGGGACGGGATGTGATGACCTCGAGGCTCTGAGCGAAAGCTTCCAGCATTCCCAGAACTCGTCTGGGTGGGCACAGCCTCGTGCAGCCGTCAGTGACCCAGCTCTGTGCTGCTCAGCCAAGTTTTACACTTGGCTTTAGCAGAGGCTGTTGAATCACAGGGTGACCTTTGTTTCCTGGGTGCCCGAGGGGCAGAGGGAGGCACAGACCCCCCCCCAATCTCTGTGGGAAGCCCAGTGTGGGGGCTGCTCTCCAGAGCAGGGGGCAGGGCTGAGGATGTGGCCCTGCCACCACCATGATCACAACAGAGCACCTGACTCGCTCACAAGCTGGGCAGGTTTGTGGAAACTTTTAGGTGATGAAAAGGAAGCTACCGATTTATCAAGCGTTAGGGACCTGTCGGAGGAAAGAGACAGACCCTGGGAGCTGTGGAGAAATCTATCCCCCGGCCTAATGAGCACACTCAGCAGCAGAACAAAGCCATTTAGATACTGTCACATTTTATCTTCTCCCCCCCCAGTGTTAGCAGGTTCGTGCAGCAGAGAATACATTACAGGGCCAAGAACCGTGCTGAGGACAGAGCCAGCCTGCACAGCCAAGAGCGCCAGGGACGGGGGAGCTGTTCAAGAGCCGGAGCCTGCAGCAGAGGGCGGGCGGCGGGTGGGGCACACTGGCTGTGCTGTTTGTCGGGGCGTTTGAGCTGCCCTCCCTCCGGCTGCCAGCCAGGCCAGGCAGCGTGGAGCCGGCTAACCGTGGAGAGCTGCTGGCTTAGAGCCTGGGCCTTACTCAGACAGGGAGCCTGGCAGGCGGGGACAACGCCCATGCCAGGAAGGATCTCGGTCTCGCCCCCGGGCAGGGGCGCTAGCTCTCGCTGCAGCTGCTGGAGGTCGCCGGGGCAGGCGAGGGGCAGGCACTACCCAGGGACTGGGGGCCTCAGAACTAAACCAAGTCTCTGGGAGGGTCAAGCAGGGTAGAGTCAAAAAGGAGCGTCCCATGGATGTGGGGCTGCGGCTGGGACCCATGGCAGGTGTGACGTGGTGGGCAGCCATACCCTCTGGGCACCCACTGGTGGCTGGGGGGGCCGGGGTGACCCCTACTGGCCGGTACCTGTAGCACTGCCCGGGCCCCTCCCAGTCCAGGAGCACACCAGAGCCGTGCGGTCACTGGCTGGGGCGCTAGGACATTCCCAGAGAAGGGCCAGGCCAGCGAGTGGGGAAGAAGCGATTGGCCTCCTCAGCGCTCCGGGCCCCAGTTGCTGAGAGGGGAGGGGCAGGGCCGGGCTCTCTCCCTTGGCAGTGGGAGATGCAGGCAGAGCAGCACACACAAGGAGGCTGGCAGGACTCAGCTGTCAGAGCTGCAAGGGAGCAGTCCCCAGCAGAGAGCTGCTCCGCCGCGAGCCTGGCTGCGGTCACGGGCTGGGCCGCTAGGACATGCCCAGAGAAGGGCCAGGCCAGCGAGTGGGGAAGAAGCGATTGGCCTCCTCAGCGCTCCGGGCCCCAGTTGCTGAGAGGGGAGGGGCAGGGCCGGGCTCTCTCCCTTGGCAGTGGGAGATGCAGGCAGAGCAGCACACACAAGGAGGCTGGCAGGACTCAGCTGTCAGAGCTGCAAGGGAGCAGTCCCCAGCGGCGAGCTGTTCTGCCGCGAGCCTGGCGCCAAGTGCTGGCAAAGGATGCGTCGGTCCAGGAGCATTTTGCCTGCAGTGTGCGCAGCTAGATCCCTTCCCTCGCAGCCCAGCCCCTCCTGCCCGCAGGCCGGGGAGCTGCGAGGCAGCTGTGGAGTTACAGCGGAGGGGCCGGCCACGCTGCCGTAGGGCCCCGGGTAACACCTTGCTGTAATGCCACTGCGCCCGCCAGGCACCTCGCACCCCTGCTCTTTGCAGGAGAAAGGCTCAGCTGCGCCTGGCACCACAAGCCTGTCCAGGCCTCATTCTTTGTACCGCCCAGCGCTGAGTCCGCCCTATGCCCCCAAGGCCAGTCCCTGGACATGCACTCAGTGGCCAGGCCGAGGAACCCGACAGTGCAGCAGGCCCTTGGGACACGGTGCTTAGAGCTGCTTACAGGTAACGCGAGCCGGGCGCCACCCAGCACAAGGCCCAATGGTGAGGAGAAGCACAGGAGACCAGCGTGAGACCAGCGGCTACAGGCCACGTGAACCGGGCGGTGCCCAATGGCGAGGAGGAACACAGGAGACCAGCGGCTACAGGCCACGTGAACCGGGCGGTGCCCAATGGCGAGGAGGAACACAGGAGACCAGCGGCTACAGGCCACGTGAACCGGGCGGTGCCCAATGGCGAGGAGGAACACAGGAGACCAGCGGCTACAGGCCACGTGAACCGGGCGGTGCCCAATGGCGAGGAGGAACACAGGAGACCAGCGGCTACAGGCCACGTGAACCGGGCGGTGCCCAATGGCGAGGAGGAACACAGGAGACCAGCGGCTACAGGCCACGTGAACCGGGCGGTGCCCAATGGCGAGGAGGAACACAGGAGACCAGCGGCTACAGGCCACGTGAACCGGGCGGTGCCCAATGGCGAGGAGGAACACAGGAGACCAGCGGCTACAGGCCACGTGAACCGGGCGGTGCCCAATGGCGAGGAGGAACCCAGGAGACCAGCGGCTACAAGCCACGTGAACCGGGCGGGGCCCAATGGCGAGGAGGAACCCAGGAGACCAGCGGCTACAAGCCACGTGAACCGGGCGGGGCCCAATGGCGAGGAGGAACCCAGGAGACCAGCGGCTACAAGCCACGTGAACCGGGCGGGGCCCAATGGCGAGGAGGAACCCAGGAGACCAGCGGCTACAAGCCACGTGAACCGGGCGGGGCCCAATGGCGAGGAGGAACCCAGGAGACCAGCGGCTACAAGCCACGTGAACCGGGCGGGGCCCAATGGCGAGGAGGAACCCAGGAGACCAGCGGCTACAAGCCACGTGAACCGGGCGGGGCCCAATGGCGAGGAGGAACCCAGGAGACCAGCGGCTACAAGCCACGTGAACCGGGCGGGGCCCAATGGCGAGGAGGAACCCAGGAGACCAGCGGCTACAAGCCACGTGAACCGGGCGGGGCCCAATGGCGAGGAGGAACCCAGGAGACCAGCGGCTACAAGCCACGTGAACCGGGCGGGGCCCAATGGCGAGGAGGAACCCAGGAGACCAGCGGCTACAAGCCACGTGAACCGGGCGGGGCCCAATGGCGAGGAGGAACCCAGGAGACCAGCGGCTACAAGCCACGTGAACCGGGCGGGGCCCAATGGCGAGGAGGAACCCAGGAGACCAGCGGCTACAAGCCACGTGAACCGGGCGGGGCCCAATGGCGAGGAGGAACCCAGGAGACCAGCGGCTACAAGCCACGTGAACCGGGCGGGGCCCAATGGCGAGGAGGAACCCAGGAGACCAGCGGCTACAAGCCACGTGAACCGGGCGGGGCCCAATGGCGAGGAGGAACACTGGAGACCAGTGGCTACCTGTGAAGCGAACCGGAACCACGCGCCGGAGACTGAACCCAACATGCTCGCCTCAAGCCAAAGCAGCTTTCACCTCCCTTTTCCCCAGCACGATGCCGAGTTCACGTCCATTTGCTGCTGGGGGAAGGCTGCTCCATGTCCTCAGTGCTCTGCAGCCCCACAGCAGAACCCGTGGATGGTTACTCCAGGGAGAACAGGCCCCTCTCCCGCTTACTGGGCTGTCTTGGAAGATTTCCCAGTCCGGCGCTAGCTCGTGGTGGAGACCGGCCAGCGGAGGGCTCCTGGAACCGCCCAAGGCGGGTGGAAAGGT